ATTATAACTGTTCGCATACTTATTTTGTTTAAATAACGTTTAGTCTTAATAAAAATGTTTTTTTTTTTAATATTGTCTGACATTATGAATATTGTGTTTAATTTGTATAAAAGTTGACATTTTGTGTAGTTTATTATTTCATAAATTTTTTGTCAACGTTTAGTTAGTTTTACCTATAATATATGAAGCTGTAATTTTTGGCTAAACTGTTAATAGTATTATATTTGTTATAAAATTTGAATTATTTTAGATATAATGAATAATAATATAAATTATATAATANAATATATATAAAAGTGTCAGACCTTCCGGAACACTTTCAAAAGTTAAGTTGAAAAAGTTCTACTTTCTTATGCATTTTTTATATTTGAAGCCCCCCCCATATATAGGGAAATAGTCTGATTTAAAAAAAAAGTATATCCAATGAAAGATTTATATAAATACTACTTCTCATAAAAAAATTGTATTGATCCATACATTTTTTAAAAAGTTATAGCACTTTAAAGTAAAAAATGTAAATTATAAAATCGAAAATTTTCACACAAAAATAGCATTCGGTAGCCGTTTTCACCATGAAGACAAGTCCAGAGGTCAAATTTTTTTTTTTCAAATTAAAGTATATTACATTAGCTTTAATTTAAGATATATATAAAAGTGTCAGACCTTCCGGAACATTTTCAAAAGTTAAGTTGAAAAAGTTAATTTTTTGTGAAAAAGTTGTCATTTTAAATCCCCCCCTGTGGGCAGATTAAGTGTCAGATTTACAAAAAAAATATACCAAATGATAAGTAAAGACATCAAGCATCTATATAAAAAAAAATTATATTGATATGTTCATTTTTGAAAAAGTTACGGCAGTTTTTAGTAAAAAAAATTGAAAAAATTTCGAAAATTAGCGATTTTTAAATTTGTAATTTTTTTGGAGGTTTCCCCCATTTACGGGGAACGAGGGTAATTTTTTCAATTTTGAAGGGTAATGTCTTCGACTAGATACGATTTGTGATCTTTTGACGTATCGTTGAAAGAAATCCGTTAGGTGAGAGCTGAGAAAAAGTGGTAACAGACACAAAAAAATAAAAAAAAAACACATCTTAGTAAAACCAATACCTTCTCAGCTTCGCATCGAAGCTAAAAATTCAGCAGGTTATTATACGTGGGACTATGTAAAAAATTTTATTTTGATAAAAATATTGATAATTGCGATTTAACGTTTGACAGCATAATTGTCATAGATGAATCCCAATTTAAACGATAAACTCATAGACTCATACATCATAGATGAGGAAAAAAATGATTATTAAAAATGTACTGTTTTGAAAATGAAAGTACAAACTTATATAATTATAATCGTCTTGAAATTTATATATAACATATAATATTTTTTGATAAAATATAGTGCTATGTGCAAATGCAAAATAGTGTTCTAATAAAAATACATATGACACCATATAATTAAGGTTCATAATAAACGTATGAGCAGAAATGAACTATAAACTGCGCATATAAAAACCATGCGCGTGGATTAAAAAAAGAAAAAAGCTCGTAAAACGGTAAAAAATTAACGGATTGAATTGATTTTTTTATCGTATCTCAGGAATGTCATTGGGCGAGTCTGATGAAAATTTCAAACCTTAAGTCTTAAAACGCTGGTTTCAGCGAGCGTTTTTCTCAAAAACGGACAAAATTTTAAAATGCTCGCGGGTGAGCGGCAAAAATTTTCCGACCTTCGCCAATAATTTTCCTGGAGTCTGGTGACCGAGTACTTTCGTTGAAAAAAATAATTTTGAAAATCCGAGCACGCTAATTAATTTTCCCAGAAAAGCGTTTTTTTCCTTGTTCTATTATATAATAAGATATAAATATTTAAATAATAAAATAAAATTAGTATGTTCTAGTTAATACCATATACATTAAAAAATGTTACATTACTTAGAGTAGAAAAACGCCTAACACATTGTTTAGATACTGGTGGTCAAGTTTTTGAACATATATTAAAATTAAAAAAATAAATTGCTCAGCACGACTTTAAATTCTTGTTGATTATTAATCATTGACAGAAGTAAATGTTGTAAATAATTCTCAGTCGTAACTTTAATTTTAAAAATTTAACATTTTCACTTTATTTGACATACATGTATGTTGATTTAATAAGCTTTTTATAATTTTTTTTTGCGATTAAAAAAGTTATATAAAAAGTTTAATAACAACTAATATAAAGATTAAATCATAAACATAACAAAATGACCGAAAGTATAACTCAATAGTACATTTATGTACAATAATAATTCATAACGGTAAAAATTGTTAGTAAATAAAATAATCATTTAAACAGAAATAACAGTGTTGCCACTCGCCACTTATGATTAATAATTTGATAATTAGAATCATAAAATATATCAGAACAGAATAACATAGTGTTTTTGTGTAGAGGGCTTATTACAACATTTTCAACCCTTTGAACTGACCGTAGCCGTAGTGTTATGCATTCTGTGCTATTCAGTGCCTCCAATTCCATTTATCTTATGATTTACATTGCACCGTTTTAATTTCAATAGCTGTACCATTTTTAAAGTTATCATGTTACACTCTGGTCCCAAGTCTAACAATATTCTACGCATAATCGGTCACCGCATATTAATACAACAGCTGTGGAAAGTAATATGGTGTTACCTTTATCTACTACTGTCTGGGTTGTCATGGCCGTTGATTTATTATTTATCGCTAGTGCTTTGATGATACGGGTACGTCATTAATTTAAATGCTAGTTCCATACTTTCGCGAGGTCGCCTCGTTGAGAGTCTTGTCCAGTTAACGCGAGGCGAGGTAGCGCACGAATGCATAGTCTACCGAGAGTGTACTCTCGTGTAGTTTTGTGACTCACTCAGTTGTTTTTAGCGGTTGTACAAAATGGATGTGGTTGAAATAACAGCTGCGGCTGCATTGTGTGCATATAGTTATTATAATTTTCTAAATTTAAGCCATTCAAAAAAAATTAAACAATCCAATAAGAGGAGATGGTGGACAGCAACCATACACAGAAACAGAACAAAGTAAGTTAGTTTGATATTAAGTATTGACCTTAATGGCGTAATAAGAAAAATGATGGAGAGAATAATTTTAATTTGTACTACTCTTTACTAATTTTTCTTTCAGGCAAAGCATGGAAAATGTATTGGTGAATTGTTATATGAACCTTCAGGCGAGTTTGAAAATTTTACTCGAGTGTCATTATCAGATTTTGAATATTTACTCACTTTAATTTCACCTATTATTTCAAAACAAGATACTCAACTGAGAGATTCAATCCCAGCTAAGATAAGACTAGCAATTACGCTACGATTTTTAGCTACAGGTGATAGTTATAAAAGCCTTCACTTTTTGTTTAAAGTATCTAGCCAATTAATATCAAAGATTGTACCAGAAGTATGTGTAGCAATCAAGTTCTTAAAAATGAAGTGAAGGTAAAAATTTTATAATTATTTACTTAATAAATAACACTTTTCATAATAAAATTATATTTTAAATTGTGCAAAAGAAAATGACATTTGTTTTATTTGAACAACCTGTTCGTAAAATAAAATAAAAATTTAACAATAAAAACATAAATATTAACTTTTTAAATATTTATATGAAAACATTTTTAACAAATATTAGAAATTAAAATAAATTAGTTACTTTTTACTAGAATAACTAGGAACATAATTATATAAACTACGTGTTGAATACTACACTATCATGACTGGTTATTACTTTCTTCATAATTACCAACAGCAGTGTAATAAGCTGTATCCTCTATATTTTGAATATAGGAGTTAGAGACTGTCGATTGGTTTGAAGTATTACTTTGTGTATTTGAATTTGAAGAAGTAGAATATGGTGTTAAAGGTTGTTCCGGAATAAGTATTGAAAGTGATAGACACGACGAATCAGAATAAGAAGTTACAGTAGATGATGAATAATTTGCAGTATTCATTCTTGTATAGAATTCTCCAGAAAATGTAGGCTGTCGTGAAGATAACAAGGGATTATTAAGCCGATGATAGCGTTGAATAAATATTCCATTAATATCGTACATAAAAAGTTCTCGTTCGTTTTCCGGTAACTTATGTAATTTGTTTGCTAGTATCATTCCATATAAATCATACTCATCATTTTCGTGTTTTTTATTTAAAACAATTTCTAAAGTATTAAACGCCCTCTTCATTTGTCTCCCAGCCTCTTCAACTTCAGGATTTCCTCGCCGGCGAGATGTTTGTCGTTGTATCAGAATATTTTCTTGTGTTGGTTGACTAGTTAAATTTNTTCCTCGCCGGCGAGATGTTTGTCGTTGTATCAGAATATTTTCTTGTGTTGGTTGACTAGTTAAATTTTCAGGTGAATTAAATTCATTGCCGTTGTCATTATCATTTTCTAATGTTTCCCTAGAATATTGAAAAAATTAATGTGATAAAATAATTATAATAATAACAAGATTATATAAAGGGTAAAAAGAAGATAGGAGAAGACGAATAATAAGAATACGAATTTAAAGTTTTAAAATACGAGTTTTTAGATATTTGTATATCTATATTTTACTCTATATATTTTATATTAGTATATATATATATATATTATATATTATATTAGTTGTATGTAATATATGTATTATATTAGTTAGCACACCCCACTGTGCTACCGTTTCATTATTATCATTTCATTTTTTAAATATCTTTTAATTTAAATTATTTAAAGGACATCTTTATAGGGCATTTAGGAAAGTTACACTGGGACTACAAGACATATACAATAATCTTAATAGTAAGTTAAATTCATTATCCTATTTTATTATTTTTATTATTTTTGTTTTTAGTTCATAAATTTTTGTATTATAATGTATAAAAGAATTCCATATAAAATGTTCATCTTTAAACTCGCAAGTAAACTAATACTTGTTGCCTTTAAATGGTGAACAATTTATTTTTAGTATTTTTAGTCACCGAAAAATGTAATAACAATTTATTTGATTTAATAAATATGTTAAAAGTTATTATTATTTCAATTATTTTACAGTTTTTTTCATAATATAAAAAAGCCACGTAGATTAAAAAGTATGATTCTAATAAATTATTTTATTCAAAACATCGACGTTAGATTTTCATTCATAGAATTTTCTCAATTTTCTTCAATATGATTTCCATTAGTTATGTAATGTTGTTAATTGTTTTAATTAAAATTTCTTGTACGTGCGAAAAATTTAATTTAACAAAAATAACACGTGATGACGCATATGAACATATAAATAAACACAAAGATTTGTTATTTTATAAAATAAATGATGGTACTATTTATACAGATCCTTATATGTCAGTCAATAAATTAGAAGAATTCTACCTTAATGACGATATTGATACTCCTGTACCTTCGGATAAACCATATATAGGTACTATGCCTCGTTTATCTTACCATACGCTGGTTATTGATAGAACTTTACTTGACATTACGAATGAAGCTATAATTGATCGTAACGATCCAATAGAAGCCATAATTTGGCTTAGAAATGTTATTGAAAGTATTGGAATTACAATACTGATGGCATATAATATTTCCACAAAAAAGATGCTACAGACTTTACCAAGTGAAAACGAAGCGTTTAGTGATCATTTTCATATAGTGTCATCTATGTGCAATCTTCTATTAAAAAAATTTAGTATTTATCGTTTACGTAGAGATCCAATTGATCAAACTATTGTAATATTTAATGAATATAATCAATCTCCAAAACAAAAAAACAATAAACAAAGATTTATTGAACGTTGTATTAATTTGCAGAAGCGTTATAGAAGATGTACATGCTTAGTAACATTGCCAAAAGTAATAGCTTTAGATATAGATGAAGACATTAAAACTGAATTTAAAAGACTAATTAATTTATATGCTACGATAAATTATGTTGCAAAATACATGTTAAAACTTTATGCTGAAAATTAAAATACTATAGTAAATTGTGGTTCGTAAGATAACATTTTCATTACACAAAATTTACTTTTTTATTCCATTTAAATAAAGCCAAAAAATAGAGTATTAAATTTTAAAAAAAATTTTAAGAAAAATAAAAAGAATATTATGTGTTTAATTACTATACAAATATCTAAAAACTGTTCTTTTTTATTTTTTTAATAACCATTATTTATTTCATATAGGATGTTTTCCATGATTAACAATGGTTAATTAACATGATAAACCCTATAACCAATGAAATGTTTTTAAAAATATAAAATAAAAATGAAATAATGTTTTTTATAAAAAATTTGTTAATAAAACATTTTTGAAAATATTTTTCCAACATCTTCTAAGAAAAATAAATTTTTCTTTATATAAAAATGTTTAGTGTATATATTAATACAATATTGTATTTATATATAAACTAAAAATTAAAAAAACACAATATGTATTAAGAATACTTTTTAAGTATTATGTTTATAATATATATATATATATATATTGTGCACTTTTATTAGTTGACAAAATTAACTGAAATATTTTTTATTTTATAGTTAAATGTTCTAATAAACATTACAAAAATTTATAATTTATCTTGATAGTTTATTACGCAATAGATTGTTTATGATTTAAAAGCATAAATCACTTTAAGTACATAAGTACTTACCTCGTATTCCATGAAACGTAACGATATTTTAGACAATCCAACGTTGATTCTGAATTCACACGTTGTACTCTTACGTCAATATTTAGGGGTTGAGCCTAAATGCCCATCAACAGTATTCTAAGGGACCAACGGGGGATAGCTGGCTAGGCTATATCTACCTTAGGTTCTGAAGTTTCCTATTAACTAACAGTATGATTCCTTAGAAAAGGCTCAAAAAAAATATTATAACTGTTAAATTCTACAATATTTTAGCTAATCATTATTATATTTTCTTAACAATAATAGTTCTTTTTTAGCTGTTTTGTATGAAAAATTTAATTTTTGCTATACCTTTATATCATAACAAGATACAAAAAGAAGTACAATATATTGATATAATACATGATAATTGTGTCGTTTAAAAATAAGTATGGTTTTCTGATTGTACCTTAACTTTAAATAATCTTAATTTATTATAATCGAATAATTCAAAAAACATTTTCTTTCAAATAATAAATTTGATGGTATAAAAAATAAATTGAGTAGCCATTTAAAAATCGAAAGATGTTATGTGTTGAGGTTACAAGTATTGTAGTAGAAAATTAATTTTCTTGTAACTCAGCTCCACATAGAACCATTATAGTAAAAAAATTAAATGACACTTACATTAATTGTAGAATTTAACAATTTTATATTAACTTTATGTTTTCATTCAATGTGTCTTTCAAAAAGTTATATGAACAGCTCATAAAATGTATTTGTTCATGTTTCTTTTATTACTCAAGTTTCCACTTATAACTTAATATGCACTAAAAATTCAAATTATACTATGTAAAATTTCTTTTTCAGAATTCGCAATGTCCATATTTCTTAACCCATCAAAAAAAGCATCTTTGGTCACCTCTAAGGTGTGCCCTAAGAGGATTAAAAATGAAACTCTAAGAGAGAGTAGTAATTTAGTTTTTTTTTGTAAAAATTTGTAAAAATATTAATTTCGCCAAAAGTTTGTTGAGACTTTTTTGGAAATGTAATATATTTCTATAAAAAAGATTCTACAAACATATTAAATAAATTTCAAAAGTCTGCAAACATTTTTGAAAAATTATTATTTAACCTCAAAAAACGGATATTTAAAATAAATCCCATTCAGAGGTGTTTCGTCAAAAAATATTATGACTAGTTCTAATATTTCAAGGTTGCTATAGTTATATTTAATTATAAACTTATGATAACTTATATTATAGACTTAAGAATAATCTTGTTAGTAAAAAAAAAAATTATTTTTAATATATATATAATACAACATATACATTAATCTATCTTAAAAGTAATACTTATACAGTAAATCTTATCAATAATTTATTCTCTAGTGTTAGTATTAAATTAAAGACTACAAATTTGTTAAACTAAAATAATATCTAATTCCTATACAAAAATTCAAAATAAAATATATAATTTTAAATATAATCTTATGATAAATTATATTATATACTTAAGAATAATTTTGTTAGTAAAAGAAAAAAATTATTTTTCATATATCTAATACAACATTTACATTAAACTATCTTAAATGTAATGCTTATAAAGTAAATCTTATTAATAATTTATTCTCTAGTGTTAGTATTAAATTAAAGACTACACATTTGTTAAACTAAAATAATATCTAATTTATATACAGAAATTTAAAATAAAATAAAATAAAATATATAATTTTAAATATAATCTTATGATAACTTATATTATAGACTTAAGAATAATTTTGTTAGTAAAAGAAAAAATTATTTTTAATATATATTTAATACAACATTTACATTAATCTATCTTAAAAGTAATTCTTATTAATAATTTATATTCTAGTGTTAGTATTAAATTAAAGACTACACATTTGTTAAACTAAAATAATATCTAATTTATATACAGAAATTTAAAATAAAATAAAATAAAATATATAATTTTAAATATAATCTTATGATAACTTATATTATAGACTTAAGAATAATTTTGTTACTAAAAGAAAAAATTATTTTTAATATATATTTAATACAACATTTACATTAATCTATCTTAAAAGTAATTCTTATTAATAATTTATATTCTAGTGTTAGTATTAAATTAAAGACTACACATTTGTTAAACTAAAATAATATCTAATTTATATACAGAAATTTAAAATAAAATAAAATAAAATATATAATTTTAAATATAATCTTATGATAACTTATATTATAGACTTAAGAATAATTTTGTTACTAAAAGAAAAAATTATTTTTAATATATATTTAATACAACATTTACATTAATCTATCTTAAAAGTAATTCTTATTAATAATTTATATTCTAGTGTTAGTATTAAATTAAAGACTACACATTTGTTAAACTAAAATAATATCTAATTTATATACAGAAATTTAAAATAAAATAAAATAAAATATATAATTTTAAATATAATCTTATGATAACTTATATTATAGACTTAAGAATAATTTTGTTACTAAAAGAAAAAATTATTTTTAATATATATTTAATACAACATTTACATTAAACTATCTTAAATGTAATGCTTATAAAGTAAATCTTATTAATAATTTATTTTCTAGTGATAGTATTAAATTAAAGACTACACATTTGTTAAACTAAAATGATATCTAATTTATATACAGAAATTTAAAATAAAATATATAATTTTAAATATAATCTTATGATAACTTATATTATAGACTTTAGAAAAATTTTGTTAGTAAAAGAAAAAATTATTTTTAATATATATTTAATACAACATTTACATTAATCTATCTTAAAAGTAACACTTATAAAGTACATCTTATTAATAATTTATTCTCTAGTGTTAGTATTAAATTAAGGACTACACATTTGTTAAACTAAAATAATATCTAATTTATATACAGAAATTTAAAATAAAATATATAATTTTAAATATAATCTTATGATAACTTATATTATAGACTTAAGAATAATTTTGTTAGTAAAAAAAAAAATTATTTTTAATATATATTTAATACAACATTTACATTAATCTATCTTAAAAGTAATACTTATAAAGTAAATCTTATTAATAATTTATTCTCTAGTGTTAGTATTAAATTAAAGACTACACATTTGTTTAACTAAAATATTATCTAATTTATATACTGAAATTTTAAATAAAAAAATATATTTTTTTATATAAATATAATCATATAATAACTTATGGTATATACTTATGAATAATTGTGTTAGTAAGAAAATATTGTTTTTTAATATATATTTAATACAACATTCACATTATTCTATCTAAAAAGTAACACTTATAAAGTACATCTTATTAATAATTTATTCTCTAGTGTTA